TAACGTGCTGTTTTCTTGAGGACAACTCTTTAAAAAGTGGGTTGGACCAATAACTCACGCATGTGACCCTCACAAGCTCAACCTTTAACCTTTTGTTTCGTACTATAATATATACTCCCTCCGTCCCAAAATATTAGTTCCTTATTTCATTTTTCATTATCCCAAAATATTAGTCTCTCTTTATAAATCAAGTACAAAAATAATGTAAATTTTCTATTTTTTCCTTCTTTTAAATTAATAAACAATTTAAAAAGTACAATTATGACATTGATATTCTCAAAAAATGTACTATCAAAAGGGTAATTTTGGAAAACTAACTTTTTTCAAATGCAATAAGTGTACTACCAAAAAAAATTGGATTCCCCAAAAAGGACCAATATTTTGGGACGGAGGGAGTATATTTTTTTAATTTTTAATTTTTTAAATCAAAAAGGCCCTTTATCCATCTTTGGCCCTTATCTATCTTTTTAATAGGGTAATTTACACGAACCTCCCCTAGAAGTTACAATAATTACACCTAATTTCCACTAGTATGAAAAAATAACATCAACTCCCTAAAAACTTCATTACAATTTGCATTACACTAAACCTACAAAGAGCTCGTTTGGAAAGTGGATTGACTTTTTGACTTTTTGATTTTTTTGACTTTTTAGTCCTAATTTGAAAAGGGCTTTTGACTTTTTTGTGAGAGAAAAAATGTAATGATTATGAATTGGATGTGATATTTTGTTTTATTGAGTTAAAAAACCTAATTTATTTTTTGTGACTATTTTAGCAAAAAAAAAAAGCCTCTAAGCTAACTTCCCAAACGGAAGCAAAGGCAATCAACCGTTTGTAAGTGGATGGTATTTGCTAAGGTCATCAATATTATTATAAAATACCGAATTTATCCTTGTTTAATTTTAAAATTTAAGGGAAAAAAATGATAGAAAATGAAAAAAAAAACCATTTCCTCTCAAACCCATGTACTACTCATGTCTTATTTTTTCCTCAACCATTGTTACTTTCCATTCCTCTACTCCTATTCCCACTGTTGCTCATCTCTATTTCTTCTCTCACCACTACCACAAATCAATTAATCAACAACACAATCACATCTCCATCAAGAACAAATTCAATGAACAAAAACAAATTCAAACCGCTAATAAATTCAAACCTTAACAAATTCACTACCTTTATTACAATTACAAACTCTATGAATTCAAAAAACAAAGAAACATTAGGAGAAGAATAAGGTGGGCCACAACGTGCAGTGGTGATGTATGACCTTTACTTCGTCGATCTTCTTCAATAATAGTAAAAAAAACTATAGATTTAGGGACGATTTGATGGGTAGAGTTTTGACGATGATTTTGAATTAGGGCTATTTTGAGATACCCAAAAAAATCCAAAAAGCCAAAAAGTTACTAAAAAAGTTATCATTATTTATCCAAAAAAAAAATTTAATTTTATACACAAATTATTACAACGCAGTCTGAACCGCCTCACAGACTGTTGCTAAGTTGCTGAAATGATTTGGAAAAATTGCACAGGCGGGGTGCACAAACAACACAGTGTTGTTCAGCTCATGGAGCCCATCACAGGTCCCGTTTTGATAATCTGAACCGTTCAATATGTAGAACTCGTCGAGTACTATATGCTTGTAAAAAATTATGTTGTTCGGATATCTTTAACTATATGATCAAATCAGTTTTGTATAAAAAAAATAGATGGTGTTATAGTTAATAGTTGAAAAAAAACTAATCCGATCAGATAACTATTGATATCTGATTAACGTGATTTTTTACAAGCATATAGTACTCGACGAGTTCTACACATTGAACAGTTCCGATTAGCAAAACGGGACCCATGGTGGGCATCCACGGGCTAAATAGCACCATCCAATTCAATGCCCGAAAAGGAAGCAAGCTTCTCCCATACACTACTCTGCCCACCGTACTGCCTACTCTGCCCAAGTTTCTCTTATACACTAATTTATATAATTTTTTAATACACATTTTTTTCG